GTATATTTTCTTTAAAATATCATTGTACATCATAAAATTGGTATAAATATAAAAAAATAAACCTCTCTTAATGTTATGTGACAGTTTCTCACTATAAATTCATTGATAACATGGTTTGTACAAGCATCTATTCTCTCTAGATTCCTTCGAGAATGAAAAAAAAAAATTTATTTTATGCCTGCTTTCTTTTTCTTTTTTAAAAAATGTGGCCTCTGGGAAGTTAAAAGTCTTTGTCAGATGAGGCAAATCAATTTTTGTTCTCATCCCTTCCTAATTCGTAAATGGGAGAGCGGACAACAGTACTTAATTTGCAATTATGAGGTTTACGATGTAAAGAAAACTCAATGAATCTAACCCATAGCACTTATTGTGTCCCCTGTACTTGATGCTGTGCTAAGTATTTTGTATGTTATATTCTTTAACTTTGTTCTTACTCAAACAAAGTGAAAATATTCCTGTTACCATCATTTTACAACTGGGAAATGAGGCTTACATTACTTGCCCACAGTTAATACTGCTGAAAGTAGCAAAAGGCGGGATTGTCATTACAACCCAGATTTGTCTCAGTTCAGAGCTTAAGCTCATTAAAAATATATATATTTAATGCATAATATATAAGAACCAATACATATATGTTCTCCATGGATAATGTATCAACATATGAACTAAAGCCTATTTTTTCCTGTTAAAATTTAATACAAATAATAAAAACAAATATTTTTAAACATGCATAACAAAGATATATACAAAAAGAGAAATTACAAATTTATTCTTGGTATTTGTTTTATGAACTCTATTCTAATATATACTCTATAGCTTTTGCTCACTGTAAATATATAATGCATATATTAGTCTTTATGCTTTATTGGTCTGCTGCTAATGTGACAACTGATTTTAATTATCAAAACCTAACAGAAAACTGCAAGATAAAAATGTGTAACAGAAAACAATAATTTAAAAATTTAGTATTGACTGATGTAAGAATAGAAGAAATTTGGAACAAATTCTGTATAAAATCAGACAAATAGGATAAGACTAAATCACAGAAGAAATTTTCTATCATTATAAAACATGATAAAATATGTAAAGCAAGTGATTATAAGGTATGATTCCATGAATGAAAGCATTTTCTATGATCAAAATTTACTTCGAGCAATTATTTTCAAGATGTAAAAGGCTTGATATGCTTAATATAAATAAGTTTTAGAAATTAAGATAAAATTATGATCATATGAATAGAAATGTATAAAAATGAACAGAGAATTCAGAAAATAAAAAATGTTAAAATGCTATTGTACAATAAGAAACTAGTAAAAAAATCTAGCTAGCTACTAGAAAAAACAAATCAAAGAAACAATGTGATGTTTTTCAAACATAAAATTGTCTAAGACAATTTTAAGTACTGTTGGTGAAGATACTTTGGTACTGCATGAGTAATGGGAATGTCAGTCTGTGTATGCTTTCTGAAGGATAATCGTGTTAGGTATAAAAGCAATTTATCATAAACAAAACTTTAAAAATGCCTACATCTCCAAATTAGAATAAGATTTATAATCCTATAATAAGATTGCTTATGCGTGTGTTTCTGTGTGCATTTGTGTATTTATGAACTGAAGGATGTGGTTATCTCACGGTGATGGTGTTGTGACAATATTTTTCCTTTTTGCTAGTTTTTAATTTCTAAGATTTTAATCTTGAATATTTAATGGAAGAAAAAAATAATATTCTAGTTTAATTATATATACTCCAAATTTCAAGAATATTTTTCTGATATATATAATTTAATGACTTAAAGTGCAAATTTGAACTGGAAGAGAGAAACATCATAAAAATGAGCATTGACTAAGTCCACTTTCAATAATTTAGACCTTCAAATGAAGCAAAACTGCATCATAAAACTTTATTTCAAATTTATAATCTAAGTTTACATACTGAAATAATAATAGAAAATAAGTTATGAAGAACAAAATTATATTTTAAAGTTAAAAATATTACATGTAAATAGATGAATATTAAATTTTTTTTCTAAATAAGTTCTTTTATTGTTCAGATAATGACCCTAAATCAATAAGGAACAAACTATAAGCATACATATTTATTTATGCACATCTTATTCTCATTGTTCATTAAAATAGAAAATATTGAATTATATTTTAATTGCTTGTTAATATATTATGTTATTAGAATTAAAACTTTTTTTAGAATTAAGACATTCATATTCTATAGCTCAATATTGGGATATTAAGTGAAGAATTGTTTCTACAAAATAGGCACAAACTCATGTAACTCACACTATTATTAATATGAACTTTTTTATCACCCCAGAAAGTTCTTTGTATTCCTTTCCAGTCAATCCTTACATTTTCTCAAGCAACTACTGTACTTATTTATTTCATCATAGGTTAGTCTTGCCCCTTCGAAATGGTCATACAAATTGAATATTAGAGTATGTACTCTTTTGTGTCGGTTTTTTTCACCCAGCATAATGTTTTTGAGATTTGTCCATATTTTTCCATGCATCAATAGTTTGTTACTTTTTGTTGCTGAGTAATATTTCATTTCATGAATTCTTTATTCTTCTATTAATGAATATTAGAAATGTTTTACTTTAGAGGCTATGCTGAATAATGATACAATGAACATTCAAGTACAAATCTTTTTGTGAAGTGGTTTTCATTTGTCTTGGGTAAATACCTAGTAGTGGAATTATTGCGTTAATGAGTAAATATATGTAATTTTATAAAGAAACTCTCAAACTGGTTTCCAAAGTAGTCACCGCATTTATATTCTGCCATCATTCTATGAAGATTCTGATTGCTCCACATCTTTGTCAACATTTCAGATTGTCAATCTTTATAGGGTTTTTAATTTGCATTTCTGTGATTAATGATATTGAGCACTTTTTAAATGTACTTATTTATTAATATATATGATGAAGTGTCTGTTAAAATATTTTGCCTACTTTTTAATTGGGTTATTTGATTTGTCTTCATATTATTGAGTTATAAGTATATGTACGTATGTAATCTTTATGCTATATTTTAACAAATATATACATCCAAATATTTTCCTCCAATCTATAACATGCTTTTTTCTCATTATTATAATATCTTTTGATGAGCTGAAGTTTTTAATTTTGGCAAAGTCCAATTTATTAATGTTTTGTTTTGTTAGTGCTTTCCTTGTAGCCTTTTACATATTTTCTTATCCAAAGGCAGAAAAGATATTTTACTGAATTTCTTCTAAATCTTTAGAATGTTAGCATTTGTATTTAAGTCCATGATTAGACTTAAAAGAGTCTGGGTTCATTTTACTCCATGTGGGTATTACAGTGAATAAGAATTAACATGGCCTATGTTTTAAGCAACCCTAGAAATGACAACTCCATAAATTATATGTCCCAGAGGGCTGCTTCTGGACAGTTATGATTAAGCATATTTTAAATATTTTTTTAAAAAATTGACTACTTAACCAACTAAATTTTTCTAGAGAAGCTCTTATTTTTTCTTCCTCTTTCTATATTATTCTTTACCACTTTAGTTTTCTTTTTTTGTGATTATTTATAATCTATTTATACCTTCTTGATCATAGTTATAAAATATACTTCATTACTGTGACTAAATTATCTGAGCTTTTTTTTAC